GGTGGCTGTGTTCCCTTCTCCTTTACTGTGCGTCCACGTGATCTTGTACCTTTTTGTTCTTTTCCCATAATTTACTGGGGCTTCCGAAGGAAGTAGATGTGAATGTATATAAGTTCTGCCTGGCCTATGTCGGGTGCTCAATATGTAGCTATAGTTCTTAATAAACTCACAGTTGATTTTTTTAAATGTTTATTTATTTTTGAGAGAGGGAGACAGGATGAGAGAGAGAGAGCGGGGGAGGGGCAGAGAGAGAGAGGGAGAGAGAGCATCCTAAGCAGGCTTCGCACTGTCAGTGCAGAGCCTGATGCAGGGCTTGAACTGACGAATCTGTGAGGTCATGACATGAGCCGAAGTTGGACGCTTAATGGACTGAGCCACCCAGGTGCTTCCCGACAATTGATTTTAACAGAAGTAATGACATGACCACCTCAGTTTTTTATTATTCTCCTGGGGGATTAAAAATACCAGGTGTAGGAGTGAGAGCAGGTGGTTTGTAATAACCCTTAGGAAGTAAATACAGCCTCACTGGAAGAAGGCCCAGCCTCACCTATTGTTGGAAGCCATTCATCTTAGAAAATCTCCCTGCTTCCTCTTGAGTCTCTTACTAGGTATGGCCTTTTCACGTTTGTCCCGGCTCATTTTCCTGGTGAGGGAGCTCAAGCCGGGGCTCCACCGCGGACGGTGGAGGGTCTTAGGCACCTGCACGATGCCAGGGGGCTCCCTGTCTCTGACTGTGTGTGAGACCCGCCCGCCCTGTGTCAGGCGGTGTGGCCCCCTGTTGTGGGATAGCAGTTGGCCCAACCTGGGTAGGTAAAGAGATTTCCTCAAATTGACAGTTCTGGGCTCTTATTTATGTATTTACTTATTTATTTTTTAATGTTTCTATTTTAGAGAGAGAAAGAGAGAGAGCACGCAAGCACAGGGGAGAGGGGCAAAGGGAGAGAAGGAGAGAATCTCAAGCAGGCTCCCAGCTTAGAGGCCAACACGGGCCCCGATCCCATTGACCCTGGGATCATAACCTGAGCTGAAATCAAGAGTTAGACCTCCACCAACGGAGGCCCCCCCCTCCCCCGCAGGGGGCCCTGTCTGCCCATCTTATGAAAAAAAAAATAGCAACATGAAAATTCCAAACAAGATGTAGGGTACGTGGTTCAGTTTGGAGCCTCCAGTCTGAACCCAGAGCATTTATTCATTCAACCAGCGTTTATTGAGCTCCTACTATGTGCCACAGCCCCTCCCCACACTAGCCACATGGTGGGGGGACAAGACAGACAAGGGCTTTCTATTCTAAAGGAGACGGGCCGAGAAGAGTGAAGGAAACAAAGCAAAGGCTCCTTACAGTGAAGGGCAAGGTGGTAGAACTTCTTCAGGCAGAGGAGGGGGCGACGCGAAGACCCTCACAGGTGGGGGCCCAGGTGAGCACTGGGTCCTCACATCCATCCAGTGGGGCGTGTGGGAGGAGGAAGCCAGTCACTTAGGAGCCCTGGGGATGGATTGGAGGTCAGCTTTGCCCCAGGGAGCTCCCCGCCAGTGAGCAGAACCAGCTCCCGACCCCTGCGGGCTGGAAGGCAGCCTGTGCCCTGGTCAGGAGCCGCCACTCGCCCCCCTTCCCCCTGCAGCCTCCCTCTCGCCTGAGTCACCCAGGCCCCCCGAGACCGGCATGCGGCAGGGCCCGCGTCATCGTGAGCTGCTCTTTCCTCGGCCGGTAGCACCACTGGGAGATTAAACACATTCGCTTAGAAAAAGCAAAGAAATAGCTTCTTTTGATAACCAGCATCTGTTAGTTAATGGGCCTCTGAGAGCTGTATACAATTTAAACTTTTTATTAAAAAAAAAAAAAGCTCATTTCCTCTCCTGGGAGCTTGCACGATGAAATTATAAACTGCACTCGGTTTTTCTCCCCCCTTTTAAACGTGACTGAACATAGAATGGAGAACATTAGTTTTGTGTTGTTTTGTTTTGAAGTAGAAGTACAGGTGTCCCTTTCCCCTCCGCTGATTAAAGCCGCCTCGGGTTTTATGCGGAGGGTATTATAAGGAGCAACGAAGGGGGCCAGAAGGCTGGCGTCTGAGGGCTTCTCAGCTGGCCCCCTCGGGCCCCTGGGCCCCCCAAACGACCCCTCCCTCCTGATTTCAGCCCAGGATCTGGGAAAGCGAGGCCTCTGGCCCAGGAGCTAAGGGCGTGTGGCCTTTCTGTCCAGAAAGTCACCATCAGCTGCTCCAGAACCAAGCGGCCCTGGGAGGGAGGGCAGCTCGGCCCCGTCAAGAGAACCTTTCATTAGAAGTGCCCCACAGAGGGGCGCCTGGGTGGCTTAGTCGGTTAAGCGTCCGACTTTCGCTTAGGTCATGATCTCGCGGTTCGTGGTTTCGAGCCCCGCGTCGGGCTCTGTGCTGACTGCCAGCTCGGAGCCTGGAGCCTGTTTCAGTCTGTGACTCCCTCTCTCTCTGACCCTCCCCTGCTCATGCTGTCTCTCTCTCTCCTAAAAATAAAATAAAAAACATTAAAAAAAAAAAAAAAAGAAGTGCCCCACAGAGCCCCTCTGAACTGCTTTCCCGAACACAGTCAAGGATTCCCCCCCCGCCGCCGAGAGACTGGGACCCTGGAAGGGCACCCCAAGACCGAAGCTTGGCCCTCGGGTTCCGGGGAGCAGCTGATGGTGATCTTGGGCAAAGCCCTCTCTCCAGTCTGTGCCTTTAGCATCCTCCCCGAGTAAGACACAGAGTCCCCCCCCACCTACCCTGTCCCCCCCCACCGCTGTGAAGGATGCCATGCCTGGCGAGCGTCTGTGGCCTCTTCACAGGTCTTGGTGTGAGGATTACATGGGATTGTCAACATTTGTGCACTCGGCTGTGTTTACTGACGTGGTTAGCACGTCAAAATATGGCAGCGACCAACTCAGTCCGTCCCTGTCCCCACAGAGCTTACAGCCGTGGTAGAGGAGGCAGAGAAGAGACATGAATGAAACAGGACATTTCCGACAGTGACCCATAAGCGTTATAAAGAAGAGACGGCATGATGGAACGGAGGGCGCTCTTTGGGGTGCTGGAGGTAGGCCTGCCTAAGCAGGTGACACTTGGTCTGTGACTAGAAAAAGCCAAGCTTCTGAGGATAGGGGTGGTGGTGAGGTGGAGAGAAGCAGCGATGACACATGCAAGGGCCCTGAGGTAGGGCGTGGTTTATTGTGACTGAGACACAGAAGGAAGGCCCACACAGCCAGGCTGTGGGGACGCACAGCCAGACCTCTCGGACATCGGACATCGGGGACCGGGGAACTGAGACTTTATTCTGAGTGTGCCGGAAGCTTCTGGAGAGTTTTTAACAGGGCAGGACAGCAATTGGAACCAAAGTGGCATGACAGAGCCAGAGTTTACCTCCACTGCCTTTATTCTCTCTCACACATTCTCTGGGAGACACTTCACTTCCTTTCTTTAGAACCGTAATCCTTGGCTGACTTTAATAACCAGCAGGAACATTTTTCAGGCTGTTTAATTTTATTAAAAGATTCAAATTTGATGATAAATGGTGTCATGGCTGCCTCACGCCTCGGATACAAGACTTGCTCAGTCACTGGCACGTTATCGCCGCCCACCCTCCTTCCCCCAGGAGCCGCGCCCCCCGCCCCGAGGCAGTCTGAGACTGTAAATAATCTTAATTATTTTTTGCACTGTGGTAAATACACCAGGAACTCTCACAGCTTTCAGAGACCTACAGAGAATATTAACTTGGTGGGGTTCCTTTTCTTTTGTATCTTTTTGTTGTTGTTGTTGTTGTTGAAGAATGGGTAGATAAGTTAGAGCAATTGCAGCAGGCTGATGGAGCCCCACACGATCTCGGGGAAGACAAGGGCTTCCCTCCGAAAGCACCATTAGCCTCACAGACAATTGTTGTTCAAGATCTGTGATAAGAGCCAGAGATAGGAATCAGTCGGAGGAAGGAGGGGGCGTGTCGGAGGCACAGAATCCCGGAAACCCTCGAGCCCACCAGGATGCCAGTTAATTTCGCAGTGTATGGCCGAGGCCCTGGGAACACGAGCAGAGGCCTTGCGTCCCCACCTTGATGACAGCCCCCTCCCAGCAGCGGAGGACGTCACGTGGCGAGCAGCCGCCTCTACCTCCAGATGTTGCCGCGTAGCCCCGTGACCCTGACCTCTCCCTGGATGGTTCCAAAGACACATTTGGAGGTTCCTCTCCCTCCTTGTCAGTTAAGCACAGGGAATCTGGAGAACAGAGGACGCCTGTACGGGGCTAATTACAGAGCACGTTTCGTGTTACCGCGATCGTTAGTATTAATTACTTTCCAAAGGCTAGAAACGCCGTGTTCCTCCGAAGACCTGCCCCCAGCAGCCAGCCTGGTGCGGGCGCGGGTCTCGCAGGCCCCAAGGGGGGCGGCTGCTTTCCCCCGCCGGCCCGGGAGGGCTGCATGCAGCGCTGACTGCTCGAGGCCCGACTCACAGACGCACAGGCAAGTGCAGGCAAACGCCAGCAGTCAGAACTCAAGAAAGCCGCGTTGCCCCCACAGAGACCAGCCTCTTGCAGAGAGCTGCGGAGTGCCGGGAGCCCGAAGCGGCATCTTTAATTCATGGCCGAGGCTCGAGTTTGTATTGCTAAATTCGAATTAATAATCTTTAAACAGCAATCCGCAGGCCCGGCCAGGGAGCAGCAGCCCATGCAGAACCTCGCTCCCGTTTCCCGGGCTGCTGTCCTCCAACCGCCCTGGGAAAACCGCGAGCCGCGGCAGAAGCGCGTGGCAGTTGACACGGCCGCGCCCAGGTTCATGGTCGGCACTGGCGTTCTCTCGCCCACACTGGTGTAGGCTTTGCAGGCGCTCCGGACTCAGGTGCGATGCCAGCCGGGAGCGCAGGCCGGCTGATAGCAGCGGGGCCGTGTCACCATCCACGATGGAGCAGTGGGGGGCGGGCCCTTCCTCACCGAAGGACGGACGAGTCTGTCCACCGGGGCGGCGAGGGGCCAGACGAGCGGCCCGGAGGTCAGACGCTGATTTCATAGCCACTCGAGGAGGGCCAGCCCCAGAGCAAGGGGCAGAACGGGGAGAGGGGCCACCCGAGGACATGGCCCCCTGCCGGGGAGGGGCTTCTGTGGCGGCGGCCCAGACACTCCGTCACAGAGCACCAGGGGCGCCTGGTAGGAAGTGGGACGCTTCTCCGGGCTGTCGGGACTTGACCCATCCGTGGGCCTTTGTCCAATGAAGAGCAGGCTCTGCCCGAGGGGGTCTCGCTCCATCTTAAAAAGCTCATACTCCACGTGGGGGAGCCTGATGCCCAGCGGCAGGCACCCATTGGTGGCTGTGACGTCCCGCTCGGTCCCCAGGGACCAGGCCCCCGGGCCCCCACAGCTGCTCGGTTCAGAGACGTTGAGCAAGGCTGTGGTGACCTGGTCCATAGGCGTCACCCGGGCCCGCGTGACCTGAAACACGAGTTCGGTGCCCCCGAGGACCTTGTTGGACGGCGTGCCCCGGGTGTACCGGCCGGCCGCGTAGACCGTGAAGGTGGGCTGACGGCAGGCGGGGTCCGAGAAGTGGTGGTAGTATCCTTCCCAGGAGCGGTTGTGCCCGTGGAAGGTGAAGAGCCTGGTGAGGAACAGCACAGCGGGGCGCACCTCGCAGCCGGGGCTGACCCACCGGCCCCCCAGGCGCAGGGGCAGGGCCGCCGGGGCGGGCAGCACGGGCGGGTGGTGCTCGTCAGAGCCGGCGATGAGGCTGCACGCAGGGCAGGGCCGAGCGTGGTGCTGGCAGAAGGCAAGGAGAGTGGTGACCATCCGACACCGAGTGGGATCGGGGTGCGGCCTGCACTGGGGTACCGCGGGGGCCCGCTCTCCCTCCCCGCCTCCCGTTCCCAGCAGCCACTTTGCCCTTCTGGGGCCGCGGGAAGCTCCTCCCTCTCCTGGGCCTCTGCACGCACTGTCCCTCCCGGGTGCTGGCCTGGCTGCCTCCTCCTTGTCCCCGGGTCCCGGCTCAGCGGGGCCTTAGCGACACTTTTGCAGATCATAGACCTGCCACCTCCTGTGTCCGCTTCTCTCCACCCTCCCCTTGGCTGGACGGTGGAGTCCCGCAGGCCCCACGGCTACACCGTCCCCAGCGCGGTGCCAGGCTCACAGCAGCCACACAGCGATTCGAAGGAGCAGTTGGATGAATGAGCGAGAAATGGGCTGGAGGTGCCTTATGCCCTGTGGTCTGGAGGTCGTCTGCCCCACACACAGCCCGCTTGGTCCTGAGATTCAGCCGCTCAAGTTTATGTCCTTTCTCCTGGCTCACCGTTCCTCCCCCTGGCCCCCGCCCCTCACTTTCAGGACCTTTCTAAGTGCCCGGCGGTGTGCTCGGCCCAGCTGGGGCAGCCGCCACGTGCTCTGGCGGAAGATGCTGGGACCCAGTGGCCCCGGGGCCCCGCCACGGCCTCCAGCCTGGACTTGGTGGAGACGGCTGGGCCGTGCCGTCTGGAACCTCTTCCCCGTCCCTTCCGTACTGGGAACTTCACCCTCCTCAGAGCCGTGCCCTCTCCAGCTCGGGGGGGAGAAGAGAGGCTCTTTAGCTTCAGAAGCCTCCCCCAGAGGGGTGGGCATCGTCCTCTCACTCCCGTGGAAAGTGCGTGTGCTGACAGGGAGGAGGGGCCATCAAAACACTGCTGCCCACGGAACCCGGTGGCTTAGAGTCTCCCCGAGGGGCCGGCGGGACAGCGACGCAGCCCAGAGATGTTCCTCCTAGTGAGAGTGACAAGACACTGCTGCCCGCACGTCGTCAGCCAGGCCACGGCCCCGGCCGCCCCAGGCAGGGGTTTGCCTTCCTCCGTCTCTGGCCTTACTTACAGGTGTCCCTGCTTTCCAGAGTCCCCGAGCTGGGCCTGCAGTGAAGCCCAGCAACAGGAAACAGATGCCAAATCAAAGGGTGTGGGAGGACTCAGGCTGCATTTTGGAGGGAAAAGGCTCAGAAGAGGCCAAAAAGGAACCAGATATAGGCATCTTTGTGTGTGTGTGTGTGTGTGTGTGTGTGTGTGTGTGTGCGTGTGCGCGCGCTTTGGTTTGGTTTGGTTTTGGAAGGGAGCTGTTGCTCAGGATTTGGTCTAGAGCATCATTCTGAAAGGTAAATGTCCTGGGAACAGCCACTTGTCACAGCAAGGCTGACCCTGGGGACTAGCATACATTCCAGCAGGGAACCTCAGGGCAGGGCCGGGGGGCAGGACGGGCCGGGGAAAACGAGGGGCATTTTGAGAGCCCAGCTGGGAAAGTAGCTCCCTTTTTTTTTTCATTGCAAACACACACACACACACACACACACACACACACACACACACACAAGATTTCCACAGATTGCTGCTGGGTGAGTTTCATGCCAAACAAGTGGCGCTTGGGAGTTCTTGTTTAGAAAGAAAATATTGGATGATTAAGAACAAGTTTTTTTTGTTTTTGTTTGTGTTTTCATTTCCAGATTGCCACATTATCAGCTCTTATTGTTTGGGCCTGTGATGAACCTAAACTGTCCTGATTTTCATAGTACGGAAACCTGTACTATTTTCAGTTCAGTTCAGATGTTGACTTGAGGACAGAGGACGGGAAGGTACTTGGAAATGCCAGTAAATGGCTGCAAAATGCGAGGGGCAGAAATGAGCGACTGGGTAGTTAGCTGGCGTGCCGGTAATTGGGGTGCTGGCTGATAAGGGTCTGATGTAGGCATCTTAACTCACATTCTGACTGTTGTCACATTGGTGGGTGTTGGCAGGGCAGGATGCGATACAGCAAAATAACACCAGGGCTGTTCCCCCCCCACACAATCCCCCCCCCACTCCCCACCCCCACCCCTGCCTCAGATCTTCTGCAGACAGGACATCGGAGGTACTGGTTGGTAATCTGGCAAGTGGTCTTCTGCATGACACACTGAGAGGTAGCGAGCCTTTCAGGTGAGAGAGGACAGAGAACACGCATTTCCTTCTCTGATGCACTTGAAGGGGAAGAAAGATGAGAAACCTTTCTGGCGTCATTCTGCAGAGGTCTGGAGCTGTGCGTGTTAATAAACAAGGCCCCAGCCAGCAGAATTCACACTTGTGCGGAAGCCAAACTCTTACTGGTTCAAACCTGTTACATAAAGTTATCTCTCAAACAGCACATAACAGTTTCTAATTAACCCCCAGAGGTGACAGCAGGCTTAGATGATTTTGGTCGAGTGTTGGCTGATTGATTAGGATTCTACATCCAGGCAATGAATTTGGGGATCAAATTGGTTTTAAATTAACTTCTAAAAATGTTCATGTTTACCATCTGGTTTGGGTCATGGGCAAGGCTTGGGCCCCAGAGAGCATAAGGTAACGACTAATTCGTTCCTTGGGGGGTTATCTGCAGCATTTTCTTCTTTGAAATTATCTTTTTTTTTTTTTTTTTCCCGGGGAAGGGGCAGTTGGTGAGTGGATATTTAATTTAATGTCTGTGCATCTGGCACTGCTCGCCTGTGGCCGCATTCCTGATCTGCTTCTCAGTCACCTCTCAGGTTGCATCGGCCATGCTGGCTGGTCAGGCAGCGGGAGGGCCAGGAGTCTGCAGCACCAGAGCCCTGCCTGGGGAGACCTGACAATTGTCATCCTCTGTGCCCCGGGGGTCCGTCCTCTCTGTATTCAGAGCGCTTTGCCCTCCTGATGAGGTGGTGGGCACCGGTAATCACCCCACCGCCAGAGCCTTTTCCTCTCTAAGTAGGGTTAACGTCAGACCCGCCTGGAACATTGGCTGCCAAAAAGGGAATAATTTTGAGGTTACGAAAAGAATTCAGGCTGATTTTCTGATTATGAGAACGTCTCGAGCCTCTTCTCTGCCATCCGGATCCTGGCTTGGGAGGAGGAGGGGGTGGGAGAGGGGAGGGTGGTGGCTGGGATCATCCCTAGTGCCCTCCTTTGGGGTACTTCGGCAAGCAGTTGCTTCCAGAGATGAGAAATTGCCCATGTGGTTTAGTTGCTTGAGTGTTGAGTACACAGTAGGCACTGAATACATGCTGAATGATGTGATCACTGCCTCAGAGCTCAAAGAGCACTTGGTGGGGGGACTCCTGAACTCATCCATCCAATCTATTTGTTCTCACTTTTTTTTTTTTAATGTTTATTTTGAGAGAGAAAGAGAGAGAAGGAGAGAGTAGGAGCAGGGGAGAGGCAGAGAGAGAGAAGGAGAGAGAGAATCTCAAGCAGGTTCGGCGCTGTCAGCACAGAGCCTGACACGGGGCTCGATCTCTTGAAGTGTGAGACCATGGCCTGAGCCAAAACCAGGCACCCGCATTCTCACTTTTGAAAAATATTCCTTGGGTACCTAGTATGGACATTCTTAACATGGCATCCTACCTTGACTTCTCTTCCAATAAACCCTAATAAAAGTTAACTTTTCTGGGGGCGCCTAGGTGGCTTAGTCGGTTAAGCGTCCGACTTTCACTTAGGTCATGATCTCACGGTTCGTGGGTTCGAGCCCCGCGTCGGGCTCTGCGCTGACTGCCGGCTCAGAGCCTGGAGCCTGTTTCAGTCTGTGACTCCCTCTCTCTCTGACCCTCCCCTGCTCACGCTGTCTCTCTCTCTCCTAGAAATAAATAAAAGATAAAAAAAAAAAAAGTTAACTTTTCTGTAACCGTGGGCATTGGCAACGAGCCTCTGTAGCCGGGAGCTGCGGCTTTGCTGCCTGTCTCCCAGTAACAGTGTTGCAGATACTGGGAACACTGTTCACACCCAGTTAGGGAGGATAAAGGATGCATGTTCTTAGTAGTCCTGGGTTACAAATTACTCTGTTTTAGTAGAATTGGTTTCTGTTTAAATTCTATGTATTTTATTTTATGCTTCTGCCCACAGTTTTCGGAGGAGGGGTCCTTAGGCTTCAGCAGCCCCACTGGAGAAGTCACGAGCCTCCGTGCCACGCTGGCCAGGCTCCGCACTACGTGCCAAGACTAGTACATTATACAAATGAAATTCGGATTCTTTCTGCCTGTGTGCTTGCAGGCCAGAAAGGGCTACGGGGATCTTCCTCAAACGGGGGCGGTGTGCTTGTGACCACTTAATTTAAAATGTAGGTTAAGAACCTCGAGTGAAATTCACATTGGAGTTGGGGCGGGGGAAGCGCGTCTCACAGGGTGGTTCCCTCTATACTTGCAGCCTCCTGCCCGGAGTCGGGAGTCCACGGGCACCTCTGGGAGCCTGTTAGAAATGCAGAATCCCGGGCCCCGCCCCACCCCCACCCAACCTGACGCTGCATTCTCAGAAGGCGCCCAGATGATGCCATCTCAAGATGGCACCTTGAGGAAGATTCTGACAAGTGCTTCTGTCCCTGACATTAGTATGAACACCTCTGGCTCCAGGCCCACAGGGAGGTCCGCAGGCTGTGTGGCTGGCCAGCAGAGCCCTAGAGAAGGGCTGACCTCTCCCTAGTTCCCTCACTAACATTTAGTGGCCCCGACGGTATGCCAGACCCTGGGCCACGTGCAGCGACACAGGAGAGCAGCCTCCCCCACCCCCCGGAACGTCTATTTCTAGAGGAGAGGGAGATGATTAACAAGTAAACCGTGCAGCCCAGGGCAAGCTGAGCGCTGGAAAAATGCGCAGAGTGGGGACTGGATGGCACATCTGATCTGAGAACTGAGAGACACCTGCCCAGGCCCACATGGCCAGCAGCGGCAGAAGGGGACCCCGTGGGGCCCACAAGAAGGATGTCAGGAGGATCAGACACAGCCAGCCTGAAAGGCAGTTCTTTTGGAAAAAGCCAGCCCTGCAAAGACCCGAGCAAAGATGTCTCAGGCAGCGGGAACAGCATGTGCGAATGTCCTGAGACACGCAGGCCAGAGTGCGGGTGCAGAGAGGGTCCTAGGCAGGGCCCAGGCCATAGAGGGCCCGCCGGGTTGGGGCTCAGAGCTCGCCTTTCCAGGGCCCCAGACTCACCAGGGCGCTCTGAAGCGGGCGCTGGTAGCCCGTGGGCCGGTAGTGCTGCCTTTCCACGGGGTCGGTGTGGACGTCACCCAGGTAGAGCTCGTCCACTAGCCGGGGCCCGGCCCGGGGCTGCAGCTGCACGCGGCGCTGCGTGCGGACCAGGCTGAGCTCGTGCATGGTGAAGCCCAGCGCCGCCGTGCAGTCCCGCCTGGCCCGCGCGCTCAGCAGCTCGTACAGCGCCCCGGGCAGCCAGGCGCGGGCTGGGGGCAGCTGCCCGGCGCAGTCCTGGCCCGCCCACGTCCCGTTGAGGCTCCTGGTGACATCGAGCAGTGCGCGGCGGCTGTGAAAGACGATGCCCACCTTGTGCAGGTGGTAGTCGGCCTCGGTGGCGCCCCGGGTGACCCAGGAGGCTCGGCGCAGGCGGACCTTGCCCTTGATGAGCAGGGAGTGGGCGGGCTCCCGGCAGAAGGGGTCCCGGTAGTAGAACTGGTAGCCTCGGAAGAGGCGGTTGGGGTAGAAGGTGTAGGAACGGGCGAGGAACTCGGGTCCTGGGCGCACCTCGCAGCTGTCAGAGAGAGACGGGGGCCGGGCAAAGCAGTGAGAACCAGCACAGTGAGCCTGCAGCCTGCCCGTCCGGGCGGGGCTCCTGCAGCCTCAGTTTCCCCGAGTAGCCTCTACCCCAGCTTTGAGCCCAGCGGCCTTCCACTTAGTGCCTTGCGGCCTCCCCGAATCCTAATTGCCTTCTTCGGCGGACACCCTCCCTGGTGGCCTGAGTCCCTGTGGTCCCTTCTGGCCCAAGAAGCGTACAGACTCGCAGCCAGAGGACCTCAGTGGCAGTGGACGGCGCCCGGCTCCGTCCTCTGTGACGTGGAGGGTCAGACTCACCGCCAGGGCCGCTGGGAAGCATGAAGCACAATCCCTGGGGGGCACTTAGGAAACAGGGGCTCCTTCGCCCCGTTCGGGGACCCTGTGTGCTGTGAGCTCCAGGAGACGGTGGCCTGCCCCTTCTTTCTCCACTGCGTCCCCGGCCCCTGGCCCAGAGCCTGGCACCCAGCGGACGCTCCCTGGGGCCTCACTGAGTGAATGGTGGCTGGACACTTACATTCCATCTCCCCTTCACTAGGTTGACTCCCCTGACCAAGCGGCATCCGTGTCTGTGACAAGTTTGTTGATCTAAACCAGGGGTCACCAAACTTCTGCTGTAAAGGGTCAGATAATAAATGTGTGTTTTTTGTGGGCCAGGTGCTCTCTAGAGCGAAAGCAGCCGGAGACCAGAAGTACATGGGGTGGGGGAGGGGCCGTGATTGTGTGCCAATAAAACTTTATTTACAAAAAACAGGCAGTGGGCTGTCACCCCCGCTCTTCTGCTGGCGGTGACGACTGCAGCAGGGCAGGCTTGACGCGGAGGGCACCTAAAGGTCTCCTGGGCCCCCCGCTGCGCCCTGGGTCGGCGGTTCAGACTTCGCTGTTGAGGGTGCGGACGGGGCGGATGTTGGATGGGTCCCAGGGGACAAAGGAGCAGGCGGGTGCCCCCTCCACACGTCTCACACCACCTGTACTGTCATTGTTCACTCAACAGTCCCCACACCGAGGCTGATGGAGCAAAGGACACCTGTCCTTCCCCGGCAGGCGAACAGCCCCCTTCCCTTTCCTTCAGTCTTTCTGATTATGTTAAGGAGAAAGTCTCTGTTGGAGCTAATATGTCTTTAATGCCAACCTCCCTTTCCTCCCAGAGAGAACAGACTCTGAGGCAGGCGACGAATCTAGTGAGAATTTAATTATGTTGTTTTGTTTCAATTGACTCTCTTTTTACAGTTACCTCCTATTTATGGCAGGTGGCTGGGCTCTCCCTATCCACAGAGAGATTACGCTTCCGTTAAAAATAATTATAGTGCGTTGTAAATGTGTGCAGTTTACTGTATACCAATTATACTTCAATAAAGCTGTGAAGCGAAATGAATATATTTAGGTAAACAAAAGCAAGCTGGTTTAAAGAAAAATGGTAAGGAAGTGCCAGTACAGGAGGTAGTTAAAAACACAGAGGGGTGACTCACCCACCTGAGGGGTGGGCTGCAATCCTGTCCTCACCTGTATCCCAGACAGGGCTGCACGGGGAGTTTGCCCAATGGGACGCAGCAGGCCACGGCGACACCTCGCTGGTTCCCAGACTCTGGATTGTTCCCTGCGCTGCTCCCAGGAAGCAGCAAAGCCTGTTTAGAGAGCACGAAGGGGAACTTTCTAGGAAGAAAGTTCTAGAAGTTTCTAGAAGAACGGTCCTGGAATGCTGTTTTCACAGGGCAGAAGCAGCCTGCAGCCAGTTCCGATGTTCCCCACGCCCCAGTTCTATCTCAGGGTGACCCGGGCCAGTGGCGCCTGGATCTCACCTGGATTTTGGAGTCAGGGTCAAGGCAGAGTCTGGGAATGCATCCAAAGTGGCTTTACAGAGCTCACGCCCCCCTCCCTCCACCCCGAGTGCTAACAGATGTTTGGCAATCGGGCTTCTCCCTGACCCCACGAGATGCATGGAGGACGTGGAGTCCAGTCCCTGACCCCAGAGCAGGACTGGCCAAAAAAGGGACGGCAAGGGCGGGGGAGGGATGTAGGTGTGGAGGAGGCCACTGCCCCCCCTTCCCCCTCACCCAGGAGGGAGGACTCAGGCAGCTGTTAGAGAGTTCGCACTCCCCACCCCCACCCCCGATGAGGGCAGAGCACAGAGCCCATGGCCCCAGAGCAGCAAACGGGGCCTCTGAAATGTCAGGAGAGACTGTCAAGTTAGAGAATTCAGCAGACAAGCCGGATGCCTGGGCCCTCTCTGGCCTGCTGCCTCCTGCCTCGGGACATTTGCACCGGCCTTTCCCTCTGCCTCGCTCTTCCCCCGGTTCTCTGGAAGGCTGAGTCTTCTTTCAGCTCTTAACAGAATGTCGCCACATCTGAGAAGCCTTCCCTGACCACCCTCAAAAGAACGCTCCCAGGTCACTAGCTGTCACCTCCTTGGTTTTATTTCCTTCATTGCAGAGCTTAGCACCAGTTTCCGTCACTTATTTCTGTGTTAGCATGTCCCGTCTTGTCCCCTCTGTGGCCCCCCCAGACCTCGCTCATAGTCGGTGCTCAGCGAGCATTGCATACTGGGTGCTCCCGCAGATTTCATCCATCGCTGTTTGTGGCTGACGCCCGGCACGTCCCTGCCCACCAGGTCCACTCTGTGTGCGTGCGTGGGGGGCGGGGGGCGGCTGGCAAAACACTTGCCGCTTTGTTTGACAGGTGGTGGGCCTCTCGGACACTGGATGAATCATGCCACGTGGACCTCACGTGAGGCTCAGGGAGGGGGAGGTCTCCCTGCCCAGAGGCCTGTGATCGGGGTGCTCTCAGGCTCTTACCCGGTGGAGACCCAGGGCCCGTCGAGGCGCGGGGGCAGCAGCGCAGTGATGGGCGCTCTGTTGGGGAGGGGCTGCTGGCAGCGGGGGTCCCAGTGGAGCCGGCTCTCCCCTCCCGTCCCAGTCGCCTCTGCTGTGTGGGCTGCAAAGCAGACAGACGCAGGTTAGTGACCTGACTCCTTCCAGAAACTCCGCCCACCCTGCCCACCTTCCCAAGCCATCCTGGGCCACAGCAGAGAGCCAGGCAGGGTCTGCCTGCACCTCCAGCGTGGCCTCTCCCCAGGGCGCCGAGCTCCCCGTCAGCCGCACCCAAATCAGGGTGCCTAGAGTCAGCATCTAGACCCGTCATCTCCTGGATCTCAGACGTGACCACTATGGAGCTCTAGCCTCCTGGAGGGAGAGCAGCCGGGCCCCTGAGCTGGAAAGGCTCTGAGAGGTACTGTGCCACGCAGACCCCCAGGAGCCCAGGTTCCCCTTGACCTCTGCCCCGTGGAGCAGGCCAGAGCTGACACCTGCCGCCGGCACCGCTCGCATAGCGGTCCCTGCGTTGGTGTGGCCCGTGTGTGGCCCGTGTGTCGTCCGTCAGCACGTCACGGGCCCCCGGCCGGCACCTGGCACACAGCGGGCGTCAGGGAGCGAGCGGTGGGTCCACGGGCTGACGCACACGGCTGACGGGGGTGGGGGGGTGACCCCGGGAGGAACCGGAGGCCCAGGGAGGTCGGCCGTGAGCAGCGGGCGCCTCAGACCCTCCTGCGTGGCCCCCGCATGTGCTCATCTGACGGAGACCGGCCAGGCTTGGCCGCTCGCTGCCCCGACGCGAGCACCCCAGGGCCTTCAGCTGCTGAAGAGCAGCAACCGCTCCAGAAACCGTCACCTCCACTCAGAGGGCTGGGCCTGACACGACGCAGATGGCGGGCGTGTGGGAAGCTGGGCGGCGAGCAGCGTCCAAGTATTACAGCAGCGAGCTGTGTCCGGGGGCGGCCGGCCTCGACCCGCTGGCCAGCTCCTGCACAGGGCTTTCCAACAGCACTTCCTCCCACCGAGCCTGGGGCCCAGGTGGGGGGGGGCAGAAATAGCGGGGGACACAGGCCCTGATGGTCCGGGGGCCCCAGGAAGGCCGGATGCTGGAGTGGGAGAAGCAGATGAAAGGTACGGCCCACCCCCTCTCCTCCGCACATCACACCCCTGGCGCCCCTGCCCTGGGGAGGCCTGAGGGTCCCACACCAGCCCCTTCGCAGCCATCCGATGGGGCGCACGGCCCCCAAACTCTCTGCGCCCCGGCAGCGTCCCAGGAAAATGAGGCAGAGTAGACCCCTCACTTCCTGGAGGCCGGGGGTCCCATTTAGAGACTCTTGGGGTCCCCAGAGATCCGCAGACGTGATGCCCTCGTGGCCACATTCATGGCAGCCATGGTTCTTGTGGGCTGAGTACCACGCCCACGGGTTTCGTTCCCCGCCTGACTTTTGTGACTGCCGTCAGAGAGGGACGTGGGTGTCAGCCTCCTTCTGCACAGAGAGACAGGCTGGTGGGCCGGGCTTCGCGCAGCGGGGCACGTGCTGCCCATGGGACAAAACCCAGGTGGTCAGGCCCGGGCTGGATGGTTTGCTGTTGGCAGTCTTGCATCACAGACAAGGAGAAGGGGCTGTTTCCAAGACCCAGTGGGATGCATTTGCTGAATGAATGAATGAATGAATGAATGAATGAATGAATGAACGAACGAACGAATGAACGAACGAATGAACGAACGAACGAACGAACGGATGAAAATGCTGATGCAGCGCTGGGTCCTTGCCTATATTCCCAGCATGTCCTATAGTTGATTTGTGGGTTTTAACCCACCAAACAGGAGACATGAAAACAACCACTGTACCAACCGGGGCTGACATGGCCCCACGTGGACACGTGGACACTGAGCTGCTGGAGGGCTCTCAGGCTACACCGAGGGAGGTCTTGAAAAGGAAGCTTGTGGGTAGTTCTGTATTAACTCGGGCCCATCTCATTTCTTGAGGACCAGGACCAAGAGGTTGTGGTGCGCGGGTAGGCACGGAAATTGGGCCACGTTGCCAGTCCTCAGATGGGACATTCCCACTGAGCGTGTTCTACTTTGTCCTGTTTCTCTACGAGAAGTTAGGGTCTAATGAAGTCATGAAATCTCACCGTGTTCATAACCAACACACACGAAACACAGCGCACACCTGGAGGCCCTCTTCATGAGCACGCCGGAGTGGCACACAACATCGCACCCTGGCCGTTGGCCGAGCTTCCATTTAAAGGTTGCAAAAATTAAATCAACCACAGATAAATCACAGTCACAAATAAATATATAGAAGGTTTTCTGTCGCAGCTTTTGAGGTAGCTTTTTGAATTTTTTCTTCCTCCCCCTTCTGGCCCCCCCCCCCCGAAAAGTCTTCACAAAGGGAACACCCGAAAGCAGATGGTGCCGTGGGCCAGTTGCACAACTTTTCACAGGGACCTGATAGACTGAGTTCAATACGTGGGCCAAATTGATTTTTATCACCACGGGTTTTTAATTAACAGTGGTGTCCAGTTACCGCCATCCATTATTTACTGTTTACCCGCTAATTACAAATTATGCTGCTTTCGCACTCGTAAGAGCAGGGACGTGAGCAGGGATGTTTGAGATGAGACAGCATCATTCAAATTACCTGTGGGATTACATCCCGAGCGCCCAACTGCTCAGAACAAGCTCCTGGCATTTAAAATATGAGCTGCCCCAACCTGCTGTGTTACCTGTCGTGAGTCAGAATATGCCAGAAACAGCCTCCAGAGGCCAAGGCGAGCAGAGCCTGCCTGGGGCCTGAAGGGGGCGGGATGCTTGCTGAGCCTCTTCCGAACACGCATCTCCAGATCGGTGGCTCTGTCTGCTTCATGCGCCTGCCACACGCCGGTCATGTCTGCAGAACAGGTGGTATAATCTGCACAACTCCCGGTGACATGGGTTCTGCCGTCAGCCCTGTTTTGCAGATGAGGAGACAGGTTCGGAGAGGGCGAGGGACTTGACTACTGTCACTTACCCCAGGCAGATGCCACCTCTCCAGTTAAAAAAATAAATTTCGGCGAAATGCACCTAACATAAAACTCATCATTTCATTTATTATTTTTTAAAGTTTATTTCCTTATTTTGAGAGAGAGTGAGAGGGAGAAAGCCAGCAGGAAGGAACAGAGAGAGAGGGAGAGAGAATCCCAAGCAGCTTCTGTGTTATCAGCATAGAGCCCTGGCCACGGGGCTCAAACACACAAACCATGAGATCATGACCTGAGCCAAAACCAAGAGTCAGACACTCAACTGACGGAGCCCCCCAGGCACCCCTAAAGCTCATCATTGTAGCCATTTTATCTTATTTTTTTAAATGTTTTACTTATTTCTAGGAGAGAGAGAGAGACAGCATGAGCAGGGGAGGGTCAGAGAGAGAGGGAGTCACAGACTGAAACAGGCTCCAGGCTCTGAGCTGGCAGTCAGCACAGAGCCCGACGCGGGGCCCGAACCCACGAACCGCGAGATCATGACCTAAGCGAAAGTCAGACGCTTAACCGACTAAGCCACCCAGGCGCCCCCCTTGTAGCCATTTTATTTATTTTTTATTTTTTTATTTTTTTTTAAATATTTTTATTTATTTCTAGGAGAGAGAGAGAGAGATAGCATGAGCAGGGGAGGGTCAGAGAGAGAGGGAGTCACAGACTGAAACAGGCTCCAGGCTCTGAGCTGGCAGTCAGCACAGAGCCCGACGCGGGGCTCGAACCCACGAACTGCGAGATCATGACCTAAGCGAAAGTGGACGCTTAACCGACTAAGCCACCCAGGAGCCCCCCATTGTAGCCATTTTAAAGCGTACAAGTAAAATCCAGTGGCATTGAGGCCATTCACCATGCTGCGCAGCCATTACTGCTGTCTGGTTCCAGAATATTCTTATCACCGCAAAAGGAGGCCCTGTTCACATCGGTGAGCACCCTTCGTTCCCTCCTCTCAAACCCTGGCAATCACTAATCTGCTTTCTGTCTCCCGTTCTGGGTTTTTCCTAGAAATGGTGTTAAAAATCTGTGCCCTTTTCTCGTCTGGTCTTCAGAACACTCGTGTGAAGTGGATGTGCTTATATCTGCATCGTGCAGATGCATCTGGAGGCTTCGAGAGCTTTCACACCCAGCTCCACAACCCATGTTTTCTTCAGAGATCACAGGAGTGGGCCTGAATGACAAGGGATTTGTAGCCAGAGAAATATCAGGGCTTCGGAGAGCTTTCTTTTGGGGGCAAAAAGCAACAGAAAAGCAGTCTTTCTTCCTGTCCTAATTGGCTTGTTCCGAGGTTCTGGGAGGTGAGCCAGCTGGTTCTGGGTGCAGCAGCGAGCATCTCTCGCCCCAGCGGCTGTGCACTGATTTTAGAGGGTGTTAAAAAGCAGCCGTGGTTACCGTGGCAGACTTGCACTGTGCGGTCCACATTGCCAAGGACCGGACTGAATTTTTAAAAGGGGGTTGGTCAGGGCGCCTGGGGGGCTCAGTCGGTTAAGCATCCGACTTTGGCTCAGGTCATGATCTCACGGTTCGTGGGTTCGAGCCCCACATCGGGCTCTGTGCTGACAGCTCAGAGCCTGGAGCTGCTGCAGATTCTGTGTCTCCCTTTCTCTCTGCCCCTCCCCTGCTCATGCTCTGTCTCTCTCTCTCTCAGAAATAAATGAAACATTAAAAAATTTTAAGAAAAAACTTAATAAAAGGGCGTTGGTCTGTGCTTGATTTTAAAATATCAAGTAATGCTCGAAGTAAATCGTATTTGATAAGTAAATGCATAAACGGATCATGGACAGTCCGAGGGAGGTGCAGGCGGCGCAGAGAGACAGAGTCGACTCCTCACTCTCTGCCCTCAACAATGCAAAAGGACAGTGGCTCTGTGTCCTAGAGCTGCTCTGACAGAGGACCCCAAACGAGGTGACCCACCCAGCAGAACTTTATTCTTTCAGAGCCTCAGACCACAAGTCTGCAATCGAGGTGTGAGCAGGGCCATGCTCTGCCCCGAGGCTGCAGGGGAGGCTCCTTCCGGAATCTTCCAGCCTCTGGTGGCTCCAGCTGGTCCTTGGCTTGTAGATGCGTGGCTCCAACTTCCACCTCCGCCTCCACATGGGCTCCTCTCCTGTCTTTCCAGGGTTCTACCTGCCCGCTGTATTTCTCTGTTGGGTTCCTAGGGGAGAGCAGGGGTGCAGCTTTCCTGCCTCGGGACTGTTGTGCGTGCGGTTCCTGAGCCAGAAGAGCACTGTTCCCTCTGCTTCGGGCTGGGTTCTCCCTCTGCAGTGAGGTCTGAGAATAAATGGCAATTCCCGGCAGGCTGGTATCGAACACTCTCTTCTGCTCTTTCATTCCCTCTGTTTCGTGTGGCGCTCGCTGCAGCTTGCAGTGATTTCCCGGATTTCTGTTCCTTATTTACTTTTATTTGTTGACCTTTTAACTTGAAATAATCTCAGACTCACAAGAATGTTGCAAGAGCAGTAGAAAGTGCTAGCATACCCTTCATCTCAGTCCCCAATGTTAGTATGATGCACAGACATAGTTCTTGGTCAAAACCAGGACATTAATGTTGATACAACGTCATTAACTAATCTCCAGACCCTACGCACGGTTCGCGTCTGTCCCATCCGTGTCTCCTTTTGGGTCCAGGATCCAGTTCCAGATCACACATCACATTTATTTTTCACGGCTCTTGTCTCCTTTCACCAGAGATATTTCTTTGGTCTTTGTCTTTCACGACCTTGCTGCCTTTGAAGAGTGCTGGTCGGTATTTTGTAGTCTGTTCCTCAATTTGGGGTTGTCTGAAGTCTCTTCATGAGTAAATTCAGCCTCTGCAGTTTGGGTCAGAATCCACAGAGGTGACGTGTGGCTGCCAGTGAGACACGTGGTGTCACATCAATTTGTCCCAATACTGGTGATGTTCGATTTGATTACTTGCTTAAGGAGGTGGCCGCCAGATTTCTTCACTGGCAAGTTACTGCTTTTCTTTGTAATTAACAATTGTCGTACGGGCACCTACTTAGAGATAATGTAAATATCTTGTTTTTCATTGTACTTCCTCCTCCACTAATTTCAGCATCTACTGGTGACCGGTGATGGCTCCTGCCTACAGCAGTGATTACTGTAGTGTCTTCCAGATGGAATTTCTCCAGTTCCACCAAACCTCCGGAGCCCGTTGATTGGGATTGTGCTGTACGGGAGGCCTCCCATCTGTTCTCCCGTCTCTCATTCAGTTGCTATTTGTATTAGTATAAACCTGGATATATTGATTTTATAGGTTACAATCCATTGCAATCATTATTCATTTTGTTGCCGAATTGTCCCTGATTCAGTCGTTAGGAGATCCTTCAACTTAGCTCTTGGGTAACTCTCTACATGCCCTTGTCATTTTTGTGAGCACTTCCTCATTTTCTGGCACCGGAAGATCTTCCAGGTTCATTTTGTACTTTCCTTGCTCTTGGCCTGGAATCAACCATTTTTTTAAGGAGTCCTGGTTCTCCCTCTCTCCGCCCCCCCCCCCCCCCGGTGGATGGTATTTAGAAACCAAGATCTGGGCTCTGGGTGTGCTCATTGCTGCTGGGGTGTCACACAAGGTTCCTCAATTTTCTTTTTCTTTCCTTTCTTTCTTCCTTCCTTCCTTCCTTTCCCTTCTTTCCTTCCTTCCTTCCCTTTTTTCTTTTTCTTTTCTTTTTCCTTCCTTCCTCCCCCTTTCTTTCTTCCTTCTTTCCTTCCTTCCTTTTTCTCTTTTTTCTTCTTCCCCCTTTTCTTTCTTTTTCTTTCCTTCTTTCACCTTCCTTTCTTCTTTTATTCCTTCCTTCCTTCCTTCCTTCCTTCCTTCCTTCCTTCCTTCCTTCCTTCCACTTCCTTCCTTTCCCTTCCCTTCTCTCCTTTCTTCCTTCCTATCTCTTACTATCTAGTTTGCCTGCTACATAAGAAGAGGTCTTTATCTCTCTTGCTTACTGCTGATTCTTCAACACCTAGGACAATGCCTGATGGATGCTCAATCCACATTTGTTGTTGAGACAAGAAAGCACTTGAGACAAGAAAGCTCCTGTAGTTGAATGAATGAGTGACTCGTGCACCGTAACACGGATGCACATGAGTTCCCTGTTGACACTTCTCCCACCCTTTGGGGTTTCCTCTCCTAAAAATCAGCTGGTGACTTCCATCATATGTGTGGCTATTAGGATCAGGCTTGAAATGGAGGCAGAGTGAGGCTTACAGTTGCTGGGATCACTAACAGTCTGGCTAAGGAGCAAAGATGGTGGGCAAGGGAGCCCCCAGCAGGCTGGGGGTCTTGGATGAGCCAAGCAAGGTGAGAGGAAAGGGAAGTGGGTGGAGAGAGATTTAGGTGAGCATCAAACCTGCTGAGAGCTTCAAGGACAGGCTTCATCCAGCATCAAAACCTGATGCCAGGTGCTTTGCTTTAAATCCTTTGTTGTTGTGTGTGCGTGCGCATGTGTGTGTGTTTAAATGTTTATTTATTTTTTGAGAGAGTGAGTTAGAGGAAGGCAGGGCTCAGAGAGAGAGAGGGAGACAGAGAATTTCAAGCAGGCTCCGCACTTGTCAGCCTGGAGCCCAATGCAGGGCTTGAACTGACGAATGTGAGATCTGGACTTGAGCTGAGATCAAGAGTTGGGCACTTAACCGACTGAGCCACCCAGGCGCCCCAAAGCCTTTGTTGAACTTGGAACCCACCCCAGCCAAACCTGGACCCCGATGTGGTTGTAGACCCCCAGGGAAGGCACTGCATGGCTCTGTGGCACTGCTCAATGGAAAAAGAGTATGAGCCACAAACGTCAGCCATGTATGTGACTCTATGCTTTCTAGCATCCACAGTGAAAAGGGTAAAAAGTAACAGGTAAATTAATTTTAATGATCTTCAGCCCCAAATAGTGTGTCTTAACATGGAATAAATGTGAAAACTATTCATGAGATACATGCTCTTTTCCATAAAACTCTTGGAAGTCAGGTGCGTATTTACACTCAAAACACAACTCAGTTTAGAACTGGCTGCATTTTGGAGGCTCGGGCCACACGTGGCTGCTGCACAGGTGGCCTCACTCTAGCTCAAGAATGGGGTGTGTCTCTTCCACCTTTGCTTGTACTCAAGGTTTTCAAGCTGGTTTCCAAAGACCACTAACATTTTGTTCTGGGAGAAAAGAGGCGTCCCAGTGAGTGGAGCGCTAGCCTCCACTCCCCCACCCCACTTTAGCCCAAGTAGCCCCTGGTTTCTATATTGGAATGCAAATTAAAATCTGCTTTGGAAAACAGTGTTCTCTTGCTTAAAAAAAAACAAAATAGGAAACCCTCTGGTTTATTTCAAAATCCTCAGCTTGAGGTAATTCACCTAGAATGTTTGGAGTTGGAAGCCTACGCACATTTTAAATAAAAACCTCTGCCCCAAAACATAAGCCCTCTTGATTAGAGGTGGCCGCTTTTTACAGATGGACACGTGCTAGAGTGAAGTGGGACACCCCGGCTGCTTCGCCAACAAGCTCAGAAACCGGCTGTTGGCAATGGCAGCCGTCACCGCGTTGCTACAGCAAAAGATGTGCTTTCCGGTGAAGTCATTGCACAGAAGGCACACGGAGTTTCCATGTAAACTCCCCCGAGGTTACAGGCTGTCATGTTATGGCAGGACCAGCAAATTGCAGAAATATGAAGACAAACTCTGAATTCTAAGGAGTCTAAACCTCCACTCTGGTGTGGATGGCTGGTCGTCAGAGCCCTCATATGTCCCTCATTTGGCCATAATTGAAACTCATCATCCATCTAATCCGAGGCCTTTCTGTTCAAGGCCAAGTGTTGGGGGCGGTGAGGTTGGGGGTTGGGGGGAGAGGCTCTGTGTTCTTGGGAAACTCAGAAACAGCCGTGCCCTGGAAAAAGTACACTCCACCGCCCACTCCCCCAAAGCGTCCAGGACTTTGAAGCGTGCCCTCCTCTGCTTGCTGAGCTTGGAGGTTTGAAAGTCACCCTGAGGAGCCCTGGAGGGCCTGAGGGGCTGGGGAAGCAGGTTCTGAGCTGGCGGGAAGGGAGAGGGCATCAGAGTCAGATGTCAGCGTGCCCGAAGGCCAGTGGAGGGCACAGTGTGGAGTGTGCACTCAGCCCCCCATGAAAAGTCCCGGCGGCAGGCTGGACCACGGGGGCGGTGGAGAAGGTGGGCTTCCCCTGGTGCCACTTGAGGGGGTGATTGTTTTACGTTCGTGTTTCCAAAATTGAAAACACTTTGTAACGGGGAGCAGCTGGTCATGCAGACACTTCCCGCCCCCCCACCCGCCCTTCCCCCTACCCCCGCCCCAGCCTGTTTCCTGCTGAGCGAAGAGGAAATGTACAGCTCCAGGGGTGGGAAGGGAATGGGGGTTTGGGAAATGAGTCTGGCCCACCAGGCCTGGCTCATTAGCCAGTGTTTTTTGTTTGTTTGTTTAGGAATGTTCCAGCACAAAAACGGTTCACATCAAAACTCTCCCTCGGCCCCATGATAATGCTAATTACCCCTTGTTCTGGCTGGGGCTTCCACCCAGATGAAAACTGGAAAATTCCAGCCAAAGCCCAGCTGTTTCCAAATAGCCAAGGCATTGGGGTGATTGATGGAAGTTTTCGCCTTTTCACCCAGATGTTCTGGTGTCTTGGAGGCAAGGCCTCGTCAGCGAGTCTCGCGCCCGTGTTCCCAGATCTGCACGTTGACCCTTCGATGCTCATAATCTGCACCACATAGTCTCCAGCCAGTGCTCTCCACCGATACCGGTGATCTGCCCTGTGATTCGAGGAGGGCGTGGGGGCTCGGACAGATAAAGCGTGGGCTCTCCCAGGACCTCGGGGTGCACCGAGGCCGACATCCTTGGTGCCTGCTGTCAGGGTGTGGTTACACCCTCAGTCAGCATTTGCTCCACAGAACATGTGTCTAGAAGTCTCCCATTGGACTGAATCTTTGTTCGCCCTCTTGGCAGAACCCTGAAGCTCTCATTGCTCCACAGAATAGGAGTTGGCTAAGATGATCACAAGGTTTTGACACATTCAATGAGAAAGAAGACGTGTGAGCAATCGCGGTGAAGACTCTGGAAGAGTCCAGGAAGAAAGCAAAGCAAGAGGGATCTTCAGGCGGCACCTTGAGGAGCTTAACTCTTCATGGGGCCTTGGGAGCTGGTTCTCCACCAGCTCTTCGCTGGAGGGGCCAAGAACGTTCTGGTCCCGCAGAATCATTTAGGTCTTAAAGAGAGAAGGATGGAGGCCCATGGTTTCCGTTGAGTGTCTTTGGGTCTGAGAAGCGCTGGGAGACGCGGGGGGGTCACGGGGAGCAAGCCCGTCGTTGGGGGAAGTACACCACTCACCGGGCTGTTCTTGGGAGTCTCCACAAGGGGGCCCTCTTGAGCTTTGGTTGGGGCGGTTGGGCGCCCCGGGTGAAACCGGGCACTACCTCCTCCAGCATCCTGCCCCCGCCTGGGGCCACCAGGCCTCCCTTGTCCACCCGGACTCCATAACGACGGAGTCCATGGAAGGCCAGCTCTGGGCCCCATGTCGTCTCCCACTGGGCATCACTTCCACTCCACAGAGGACGTATTTGGAGACTAAAGGGCGCAGGCAATGGGGTCAACCAGGCTTGCCTCCTTTCAGAGAAGTTTGCAGCACGGAACAAAAACTCCAATCGGAACCACAAGAAAGGGCATCTAGGAGGCTTCATAAACAATGAAACAAAACATTCTGGCTCCTTGAGCCTTTTCCCTAAAGACACGTATTGGAGGGGGGGCGGGGGAGGCTTGGGGTCAGCTATGACAGGAAGCATGGAGATTTTAAATGCAGGAAAATTATTGTAATTTAACAAATCAATTTTTCTTACGTTGCGTTGTGATTAAGTTCGTGGTCTCTTCCGCACATTGAAAATAACGAATTTCCCCAGAGTGCAGTTTTGTGGGAAAACCTCCATTATGTTTCGAAAAACCCATTTTGTTAGGAGTTACCAGATTTTATTTTAAGAGAAATGGTAATATTTAATTATGGCATTATTTTACCGTCCAGAAAATTAATGTGCTTTCAGAGTTTTAGGAGTAAGGCCCTGCTCTAAGTCCGAACCCTATTTTTAAATTACCATACAAATAGAAACCCAAAGACGCAAATATTGGCATAAGTGTTGCAGACAAGGTCCAGGAAAATGCGTTGGCTTCCTAAATGTTAAATAAACAGGCTTGTAATTCTTGCCTTCCCCTGCGACCTTGGGCCGGGGGCGGCCTCACGCTGGGGAGGCACACAGGGCTCACAGAGGGGACACGGCCGTGCGGACTGGATGGACACAGAGGATTCATCATCTGCGTCCCTGGGACCATCCAGGAATAAGCTCACGTTTCTATAAAGCTCCAAAGTCTGCAAAGCCCACATTCACTTCCCCACCCGGTCGCGCTAAAGCCTTTGGGACGGGAAATTGATCACCCCATCTTACAGACAGGGAAACGGAGGCTCAGGAGAGGAGCATCGGAGAGCGTCAAGCTTCCGTCACACAAGTCGGTGGGTGGAAAGGCCCAGTCTCCAAACCAAGTCTGTTCCCTGTACATTGTAGTCTCCTTCCACCTACACACAGCCCCTGGGCCGTGCTTGACATTTATTGAGCGCCTACTGTGTGCCTGGACCCAGGTGGAAAGATGCTTCTACGAGGGCTCAGGGTCTGGTATCCCGAACCAGGGCAACAGAACCCTGGAGATGTTCTGCGTGGTGCTGACCCAGTTTGCCAGGAGGGGCCTCGCCGCCTACGTGCTCCTTGAGTGTCGCTACGAGGGCTGTAACGGGCACTCGGGCAGAGGCAGGGGCGGTGGCAGGGAGGTGTGAAGCAGCAGACAGCGCGAGGGAGACGTAATTAGTCCCTGCGGCGGGCGGGCACAGGGCGAAGGTTGTCATGGGGGGGCGGGCAGGAGGCCCTGACAGCCACTTCAGGGGTCTGGAGTGCTCTTCAAAGAGAGGGAGCCATGCGGGGGCTGCGAGCAGGTGGGCGTGATGCCGGGGAACCTGAAGGATGGCTCACGTCTGAATAGTTACATGTCTGTTTTGATTTGAGTCGATAACTGACACATCAGGCTTGGGGTTTTGTTAGCATGAGGCTAAAGCAAACAGAGGTAGGTTGGTTTTTTTTTTTTTTAAACTAAGTGAAAATGAGTTATTTGCTTGAGAGAGAGAGAGAGAGATGTCAACGCAATTATAGGACAGTAGCGATCAGATGTGGCCAAACTGCCATGGTGGCAGTTGGGGACCAAGGCTCCAAGGTCTCCTGACTTGTGTGAAGGATGTTCTAGTGTGTGTGTTGGGGGGGGGGGGGGGGGGGGGGGGGAAGGAAGGGCTTGAACCTGCGAGAGACCCCCTCAAATCCCAGGCACGGGGCAGGGCATGTTGAAGGGCAAAGCCAGCCTGAGGCCATTGAGCTGTGAGGTGAGGGCAGGGAGCAGAGAGGTGCCTCAGGAGTGTGGGTTCTCGGCCTGGCGGCTGGGTGGGGGCCGCTGGGGGCCACTCCGTCTCCCAGCCGGAGAGCCGGGCAGTTGCGTCTCTGGGGTTTGCTGTTTGAGGAGCTGATGGGGCATCTAGGAGGAGGCAGCCGTGAAGGGCTCACCGGGGCCTCCCGTCCAGGGACGATGCGCGCACAGGGCTGCGGGCAGAGGGTGGGAGTTGGCCAGAGGCAGAATCCCAAGGGAAGGGCCAGGGAGGGCCCGAGGCGGGCCACTCGGAGAGGATCAGAAGTGCTGGGAGCCGTTTGTTTAAAAGTAGGGCTGCAGACAAAGTACAAGGGGCACACTGAAATTTGATTTCCAGATCCATTCCGAAAATTTTGTTAGTATCGGTATATCTCAACCACTGCATGGATAAGTGTAGGCGTTTGGAGAAGACAGACAAAACCAGAGAGGTAGGAAGATTGTGTTTTATGGCTTAATTATTATTTTTATATAAGATCTTTTATGCCATACACAGGGCAAGAAAAAAATGAATCAGAAGATACAGGAAAACATGAAGGTGATATAAAAGCTTACTCACAATCGCCTCACCCACGGTGAATTGCCATTAACCTGCTGGTACAATTTACCCTTCAGATTCCAGAGCCTGGGATGCAAGAGAGAGAGAGCACAGGGACCCTGGTGCCCTTTGAACTTGCATCTCTGCAACAATGCCTGGCTCTTGGCAGGCACACAATACATTGTTGTTGAATGAATGGATAAATCTTCCTCGACGTTTGTTTCTTCTTTTATACACACACGCACGCATTTATTCCGTTATTGTTCACAAAAATGGGATCGTTTTATGCATATTATTTGAAATCTATGTTTTTGTCTTAATAATAGATTTTGGAGATCTTTGGGGAAGGTTGGCTTTTTAGGACCGGAGGGACTAAGGATTATTCACAGTCTTCAAGGGAGGAACCGGGGAAATGATGAAGTGGTACCAGCAGGAGATATAATAACCACGGGGAGCAGGTTCCCTAATCACGAGGAGCCCAATAAAAACAAGCCTAACTCTTCAAACAAAAGCAATGCACGGCTTGCAGTGGAATTTTCAGAATGTATAAAAATGGTGTAAAATGAAAAGCGAAAGTTGCTTTTTCTACCCTGAAGCTCTGCTCGCTTTCTCCAGCGTGTGTCATTTTAAGTTACTTGCGTGCCCTCCCCGAAGATGGCTTCATGCCGGTCTCTGCATATGAATGCATATGTTTTTTATTTGGCCATTAGCATTTTTTTTATGGATGCAGTCTTTCTGTACACATTGGTCTGCATTTGCTTTTTACACTTGAATTATCAGGGATATCTTTCTACCTTAGAGGTGTCTCTGTGCAAAATGACATGGTATTCCATGAAGGAGATGAATCTTCATTTACAAACCAGCCTCCCAGACGGCCATTCAGACCACGGTCAGCTTTCTGGGTTGGTTTCGCTTGTTGCTGTTACTACACAATATGGCAGTTTGTTGGACAGCCTTTCAACATTTTAACGTGCTTTGGTGGACATTCTGTACGTGTCCTTCGGAGGAATTCCTAACAAAGAGATTGTACTCTTAACATTTTGATAAGTTTGACCAAGCTGCCCTCCAAAAATGCTGTTTCAGGTCAGCCTCCCTCAATGGAATCTGAGAGTATTTGTGTCCTTTTACCTTTTGGCCACACGGGATATTATGACATTTTTCACTTTCTGCTCTCTAACATCTGAACAGGGGCAGAGACATTACAAGCTAATGAGAGTCGGTGGCCAATCACACATTTCTGTGCCTGTAAGTGAGCAAGGGACACACGGTAACAAGCAGACACTCCACCCCCTTAGATTCATGCCCTTCTGTTTATTTTCACTGATCCCACCCTGGGTCAGACCACCACCATCGCTCACCTCAAAGACTGACAGCCACCCCTCCCTGTTTCCCCCGCGTCTCAGCCCCCTTCAGAGCCCACCCCCGCCTTTTCTCCACAAAGCAGCAGGTGTGATCTTTAACGATGTAACTGGCATCCCGTTTCTTCAGGGTGGCGCTCAGAATATTCCCCACCCTCAGGATGCACAACTAGATTTGATGTAAAGCATCATTTTGCAGAAAGTAGGGAAGCCTCTGAGTTCCTTGGCCCCGAGAGTGAGCTGAAGGGGGACCCGTAGAGGCCGTCCTGGGGACAAATGTCATTGTTAGCATTGCTGGCAGTTAAGAACCAGGGTGTGAACCAGGTTGCTGGTGCAGTCTTGGCTTTTGGTAGAAACAAATATGAATGTTCTCTTGAGAAGAGTATGATCATTCCCCCTGCCCCAAGATTTTCCATGGATTAAGACCAAACAGGGGCTCCTAGGTGGCTCAGTTGGTTAAGCGTCCAATTTCAGCTCAGGTCATGTCTAGCGGT